CAAAATTGGAAGAATTTTGAGAAATGGGCCAAAATGCTTCAAGATGAATATCTAGGCTAGAAAATGGCTTTGCTATGCCCACAAACTAGCAGTTATCCATAACTAGTTACTGGAAATGATACTTTTTGTAGGAGACTTCTAGCATTTTCAACACTTGCCTCTCTTGAAATCTTTCTCACTGCAGTTACTAAATTCACCAAAATGAGGAAGGATCTGTGAGGTCAAGGGGATTTAGCTATAAACACCATTGATTAATTTTTCAATCAAAAAAATTTAATGAGGGCCAGTATTATACTGGGAACCTGGGAAACAAAGACAGCAAAGACAAAGCTCAAGTAGCTTATGGTCTTGATGAGGTGGGCCGTGGTATCCTGAAGGTAGATCATAGCGGCTTGTAAGAGACTGTTAGACTCAGAAATTTTATGAGCTGGTTCCCATTACCTTGGTAATTTGAAATCAGTCACAACAGGAGTACTTATATCATGGAAACTGGCAAATGCAACGAATTGGTGCTCCCCATTTTTCATCTGGGCGTTAAGCCTTTACCTGCACACTGCGGGGATGGACCGGTGATTAGAGGGCGCAGCACACCGAACTCTGCGAGCACAACAAAGATTTCAAGCAAGGAGAGGCTGCCTTGAGGGTGAGGGTTGTGTCTGGCAGAGATTTCTGCAGAGGTCGGACTTGATGACCCTCATTTGTCCTTTCACGTTCATAAGGGAAAACCCCCTCAGGGATATGCCCAGAAGAAGCTGCACAGGATTCCAGCGTGAGTGCACCAGAGCCAGTAGAAGTCTTTCCCGGGGTGAAAAGCCTCTGCAATGAACCACCCCATCCTGCGGAGCAGGACGGCCCATGGACCTTGTGCACAATTAACGGGAGACAAATAAAAGGACACACTTAGGAAGAGTCGACACCATGGCTAGTTTCATTTTTTTTCTTTTTACTTGAAAACTTGTTTTAACCATCAAATTTTGTAAGTTATAAACCTGTACACTGTTGGGGTTTTGTTTTTGGCTGTCTTTTTTTATTGTTTTTGTTTTTCTTTCATTTTTTAGAAAAAGAACACCAGACTAATACTGCCCCCAGCAATATATGCAGAAACAATCCGTTTCCATAGGGACAAGGTTCACTGTAAGTGTTAGCTTTCCCCTTTGCATAAAGTTTGGTGCGTGATGTGTGTGCAAGTTTAGGTGGGTACACGTGTGTGTGAAGAAATGATATATTTCATTCTGAACCTGAAATGGCATAGATATCAGGTACTTCGTAACTGGGCAAAACACACTCATTTAAAAAATGCCAATAAAAACATTTTCTTAAAAACAGAGACAGTTAAATGAAAACAGTAGAACCAAAGAAAGTTTACAGTACATTTTGAAATGATTAAAAAACACCATTTTCAAATCCAAAAATCCTTTATGTGGGTGTGTGCAGTTACTTCAAAAGTTTGCAGACCAACAGCATGGATGACTTAGAATTGTATTCGACCCCCCAAATTAAAGCATCCTGATAGGCATCAAGTACAGTATCTACAAAAGCTTGTAAAATTGAAACCATTATATACAATTTTATAAACATTTTAAACACCAAAACATACATCTTTTACAAACCAGCCTGTTTGCAACAGGTAAATTTACAAGACAATCTCTCCGATACAGTGCTCAAAAAGAACTGTTTCCATTTCCCCACACATTTCTCACGTCCCGAAATGCAGTAGTATGGGCTCATAAAACTGTTAAATAATACATACTAATGGGTCCAAACACGCTCCAAGTGACTACACGATTCTCTAGTGCATCCTAAACACTGGAAGAGACTTATTATGGCCTTTGTGTAATATTACATACTTGTAATTATTGCTTTTCATTATTACATAAGGAAAGAAAAATCTTACTCTTATCTCTTAGCCGCTGGCTAAATAGTAACTGATGCCAAACCCATCAGCGGTGACTTTAAACCCTAGAATTATACAACCAGAAGCTTAAAGACCTTGTGGATTTTCACCAGATTCATGTGCAGTTGAACATTGCAGGACAAAACCCAGGGAAAACACAGAACCACCTTCTCACAGACCACACAAAATGAGGACACAGAAGAAATGCCTTTTCCAATCCCCATGTCCCATGTTTTGAAGCTAAAAACATAAAACATAAAAGCCTAACACTTTATCAATATCTGCGTACTAGAAGGGCAGCAGAGGAAAGAGAACAGACAATTATCTGGGCAACTGTTGCAAAGGAACACTAGATCTTCCTGAATTATCGCTCATGGAAGTGTTTTCTGGACCTTAAATGATTTACTTTGCTGTCTCTTTCTCTCAATTCCCCTGACTTTCCTTATGTAGAAACAGCATTAGTGGGGGCAGTGGGTGGGGTGGGTGTGGGAAGTAGGAATTGGCTGATATATAGTCCCCCAAAATGTATACATACTTTAACTGCTGATAGCTCAATTTTGAAAATGAAATATATTTTGATAAACGCTGACTCTATAATCATTCAAAGTGTATGTATACAGTTTTGGGGGTGGGAAAAGTAGGTTTACAGTTGTGAGTACAGGAAACAGTTTATCCTTGTATTATTATTTATTCTTATATTATGTATTTTTCCATACAAACAACTGTAACCTACTTTTACTCACCTCTGTGTATCTGACTTGCTTTTTTCCAGGCTGTGCGAGTGATTCCTCAGGGAATCCCAGGAGTGCAGCAGCCGTTCCCCTCCACGCCTTCACGCCGATTCTCTGGCAGGACAAGCCTCACCTCACGTGCATGGACGTGACCTCCTCATGGTGCTAAGTCTTCTGCAATGGCATTTCAGGAACGGTCAGGACATGAGCACAGGGCAAGCCGGCATGGAATGGAGCCGGCAGAGAAATGCTCGTACAGGAAACGGAGTAAACACCCACTTCATTCATCTTTTACAGCTTCTGCTGACCATATGACAAGAACCAACAGTCTAGCCACCCCCAACTTGACCAGAATGTGTGCAATACAAGCAAAGCGCCTACAGCAGGCTATGGCAAATGGCTTCCAGGAGGGGGCACAGACACATCAGGAAAAAGGGGAAAACACTAACTGGCTTCAATATTTTCCACATGGTTCGGGGGTAGGAACAGACACCAGAGCTGGTATGGGGGGAGAAAGGAAAAACCAAAATGCGAACCGTCGGTAATATTATAAACAAAGTTTCACCATAACTGGTGACTAGTCTGGGTTCCATGGTGTGATTATTGTTCCATCTTCATTTTAGAAAATATTTGGTAAAAGCAGCATTTTGATAAATGTCTAAAGAGATGTATGAATTCTGTAACTGCACCCTACCTAGCGAGGCTGCTGGGAAACACGAGATCGTGAGGCTTCCAAAGACATAACCTCCATGAGCTCTAGCACGTTCCAGAGCAAGAGCGGCAGGAAGCCAGAAGGTGCAGCAGACACCATGCCAGGCAGCTGAGTGTGACCCGTGTGGCACAGAAAGAATATTGGCCGAATGGACGTCCAGCTACTGAACCTCCTGTGAGCTTGGGCAAGTGCCTTCCCCAATTTGGGCATGTTTCCTCTTTTATAAAAATAAGAGGGTTGGGGGAACAGGTCTTAAGGACCCTTCTAGGTCTTCAAATCAGCAGACATCCCACCTAGTTCCATCTCGGCCTGACCGAAAACCATTTCATACTCTATAGGGAAGTTTAATTTTCCAAAAAGTGAAAAGCTATGTGTTTAAAGGGTAACGGATCAAAACATAACACACTTGTGTGGTACACATTTAATTGCAGAGCTATTCTGCAGAAAATCAGGGGGTGCTCTCCTGATGAAAGAGGTATTTTATATAGGTCAGAGCAGCGGGAGGGCGCGATTTTCTAGGGTGACTTCACAACGGCATTAGGATCTATTTATTCCTTCATTACTGTGTCAGTCAGGCATTCTCCCCAGAGGAGATGCTGTGTAAGCAATAGTGACTCACTGGCATTAATCTTGTTCTAATATTCCCTGGGGGCGAGAAATGAATTGTTGGTTTTCCTTTGATGGTTTTTATGACGTTGCGTTATGAAAAGTATAGCACGAGTCCATTCTAGACCATTAGCTTGTCATTTTCTCTGATTCTTGCAAATGTGCTTTTACATAAGAAAAATACCAAAGATTTTATCCTCAAAAGCCGCCTCAGTGAAATTCATTTATTTCCAGACCACAGTGCAGATATGCTTCCGTGAGTAGGTCTCGCCGAGAGACAGGAAGGAGAAAAACCGAAAAATCTGTGAAGTGCATCCGTGGACTCAGAAAGCTTGACAATGAAAAGGGATTTTTGTACAACAAACTTCAGAAACACTGACTCCTACAAAAGAGTGAATTCAACACAACTGAAACAGCTAAAAATATGTTTGAGTGGGTGACAGGCAGACTGGGGACAGCACAATTACATACCAATGCCATGTCGTCAGAAACGGTGGACACAGATTTGCTCATGAAGCAGGTAGTGCAAATGTGCATTTATTTACCACGGCCACCGCACACGCAGCCATAATCCGACTGAAGCGAAGCGGGAAAGTCACTCAACTTGTCAACTTTAAGCTTCGAGGACTGAATTACTGTACATCCAATAGAATGATTCCCCTGTAAATTTTGGAAACTCACGGCCAAAGTCCACATGCTAGATAGAGGAGAACCCCAGGGTGTAATGAAACATTACACATTTTTCAAATAAGAGTTTAGTTCTGGAAAATTATAACAAAATACTGAGTATTTTTTGTTTTTGTTTTTTTAAAAAAAGCACAGTTTTGCTTTAAGTTAATATAAATGGCAGTACCAAAATAAAGTCAACTGAACCGGAGTAAAATATGGCATTTGGTGTTTCCCTAACATCACAGAGATTAGAGAAACTGGATGGTCTGCCTCACAGGCAGGATTTTCAACGTAGTCTGTAGCCTAAAAAGTTCACGTTCGTGTCCTTCAAGAGCAGCCCCAGTGAGTGCAAGCACATATCTATCTGTACATAGGCCCAGACACACACACTATTATAATTTATACACAAGAACTAATCTACTTCCTTCTCTTTTAAAAATGCAATTGCATTTATAGTGATGATGCTAACCAATTCAGAACAACGCTCAAATTCTATTTGCATTATCAAGAATTGTGATTATCTGGCTGAAAACTTTGAAAGTGTTACATTTTACTTTTTCCCCCTAAATTTGTGAATTCTGCTTAAACCTATAAATATCTCTCATTCTGGAGAATAAAGTACCAAAATACTGCTTTCTTTTTTCTTTCTTTTTATTTCCTGATTCTTGGAACAAAGGCTAATTTCTGCAGTAGTGTTAAAATTGTAGTTATAGCCAGGAATGTTTACTGGAAAACAGATAATCACATTCTTTTAAATGTTTGAACAATGTTAACGTCCCCAACCCACAAAATGGAACCCAAATATTCTCTTAGTTGTCTTCATTATATCTTTCTCAAAGATCATAAAACCCAACTATATTATATTGGATGCTTAACACAAACAAATAAAAATAACTAAGCATACTAAACATTTACCTAAATCTAATTTTATAGCTGAAAATTGGGGAGCTTATAAAAAAAATAAAGTTGATTTTTAAAGGCTTCAGCCCATTTTCTTGTTGGTTTAATGATATTTATTTTTTTTATTCTTTTGCCTAGCTTTTCCAACAATAACTAACATTTTCATCCGCCCCCCATTGGATCAAAATTACATGCCTTTTTGCTTGTTTCCAGCTATTAATACTGTAAGGGCTGATGCTGTAACACTTTCCAGGGCACAATACTGCACAAAGCCATACAAGATCGACTGTGTAACTTAGAGGGTGAAATGCATTTCCCCCTTTTAAAAACTCAGTGAGCTTTCTTGGTCATGAACGCAGGTACACACTGCAAGGGCCATCAGTCACCTCTCAGAAACAATTTCTGAGCCTTTCCTTTTCTCCCAGCTAGAGTAGGGCTGGACTGAAACGGAAGCTCCCAGTGGGAAATACCTGCGTTTCCTCCTTGCTCAGCACACGGCTCTCCAGGGAGACACAAGCCCAGCCAGCCTCCTCCTGTAACAAACAGTGCAAAGCCCGAGGCGTGTCCTCTACACTTGAGTCTGGTGCTGAGTCTCCATAAACGGAATGTGAAGGCTGCCGAGGCTGAGCTCGCCCACGCTCTCATAGTCGCTCATGGCCACTTCGGCATCGTCAAAGCCGCAGCTGGCCGACACATCCGAAGAGGAGGTGCCTCTGGAATTGTGCAAGGATAGAGACACACTGTCTGCTGGGCCTGCCGTCTCTGTGCCCTGGTTCATGTTCACGGCAAAAGTACTAAATTCGCAGCTGGCGGGCGGGCCCACCAAGTCTGCTTCGTTGGGGAAGGGGTGAGGCGGGAGGTACTGGCTCGGGTGGAACTGGGGCCTCCTCCTGCAGTCTGGGCTCAGGGTACTGGCCAGCGAGACAGGCTGGGAGGGTGGCAGGGCCTCGTACTGGTCCGGGAAGTCCTCTGGCAGGGGAGGGGGCAGCTGGTCCTGACTCAAGAACTCCTCTTCTTGGGGGGGTGGGTACTCGCTGTCGATGTCATAGCCGCCCAGGTAGTAGTCACTCTCCAGCTCCCGGGTGCTGCCCTGGTGTGCAGAGCCTCCCTCCTGGTTCTCATAGTTGGGCACCTCCTCGATGTCCGACAGGCGGGCGGCCGGCATCCAGTCAGAGGTGTCCCAGTGATAGGCTGTGAGCAAGGAAAGCCAGGACAGTTACTTTCCTCCGGGCTGGAGCTGGGGCAGGGTTTAGAAAGGAGCAGATAAGGGGCCTGGCATGCAATTAACACCCAAGAGACCCTAAAACGCCAAGTCATGTGCATGCGCCTTACAGGGGTCTATCGGGGCCAGCCGTGCCCTGGCCCTGCGAGAACAGGGCGAGGGCAGCTCTGAGAGATGGGCCCTGGGGCTGCAGAGCCCTGCACTCAGCCATGCCACAGAGACGGCCGGTGAGGGCATGCTGAGGAAACACATTTCTAGGCCCACTTTTCTCATCCTGTCTTCCTGTCCACGCGCTAAGTGCAGAGCCAGGCTGGCAGCATGCTCACAGAGGGAGGTGCGTATCAGCTGTCCTGGGGGCCGCAGAAGGCAGGGAGGTGTGCACGAAAATGGGTGAACTGCACGCACAGGGGGGC